ATGTGCGTTGGTGAGGCTGCACTGATAGATGGCACTGAAGAGGTGGCATGGATATGCAACAATGATGGGCACTGATAGGCACTGGCACTGATGGGGCAGACTGATGGGCACTGATGGGTGGCACTGACTGGTGGCACTGCTGGACACTGACTGGTGGCACTGCTGGGTGGCACTGCTAAGCGGCACTACTGGGCACGGGTGGGTGGAACTGCTGGGCACAGGTGGGTGGCACTGTTGGGCACTTGTCTGCAGCACTGCTTGGGCACAGGTGGGTGGCACTGGTGCGTGGCACTGTGGGCACTGATCATCATGGCACTGATCATCAGTGTCCTGATGATCGGTGCTGATTCATCCTCTGACAATTGCTGGTTATTGACATTACTTTCCTCATGCTGTGACAGTGTAATGAAAGTGCAGCCGATAGCCGGCAACTGCATTTACCGGTGATCTGCTGTGTCATTGAACACGGCTGATCATGTGGTAAAAGACCACTGTGATTGGCCTTTTACCACAGCACATGATCAGCTGTGTCCGTAGGACACAGCAATCATGGATATCGCCAAGTGCGTGCCCCCGGGGCGCGCGGGAGGGCGTGTTCTGGGAGGACATCATGTGACTATAGCGTAGTTTTAAAGTGGTTAAGGACTCTAAACAAGACACCTGGCCACACAATAAAGCTGGCTGAAAAACGGTTCAACTGTAAACTGCATAAGCGGGTCTTTACTGCTAGAGCCGTAAGAATGTGGAACTCCCTTCCACTGTTAGTGGTGTCAGCAAGGAGTGTGAATGAATTCAAAAAATTTTTTAGATGTGTTACTTAGCAAACACAATGTACAGAGATATGGAAGGTGGTAGTGACATAAACACACACACACACACACACACTGGTTGGGCTGTGGTCTTTATTCAACCTTACCATCTATGTAACATTGCAGAGAATACTACTATAATCTGCATATAAATGATATCATAAAGTAACATAAATCTAAACATATAAAATATATAGATTATTTTTAGATACGTGCTTTCTCTTCAGTACAAAATTAATTCTTGTTGGTAATAATTATTTTCTTAACGATTTCCTTTTAAAAGTCTTCTTGGTTTCATTCCTCACACCACGTAGCCAGGCATTGTTCCAATTTAAAACTATGAACAAAAATGTTTATATAATGCTGAAATTCTAACATTCACAAAAGCAATGCTGTTTTTTTTTCCTGCCTCAGCTTTATAAATGTACCTTAGATAATTGTGTGTGAGCCTAGTGATTTGTATTAAATACTCCAACAATATGGACAATAAACAGCAGAGCGGGCTATTATTGGGAATATTAATGCAGGTTTGTCACAAAAAAATAAAAAATAACGACTTCTTTTTTTTTTTCTGGAAAAGATGCTGCATTTCTGGTAAACATAATAGTGGCATGCCGCTGTCGCCGGCTCCAGGCACCCTACTTTTACCACATCTGCTCCCAGCATGTCTATATTTTACAGTTCAAGTAATCAGAAATAGCGTTATTTTTCTCTGGAAAATCATTTCACATCCCTAAAAGAAGCTATTCCAGAAATGTAATGCAGAAAATTGCTGAGCAGCACGACAGCGTCTATTCAGTGTGAAGCCACAGATTTAGCTTTTTTTTTGGTCTGTTAAATAGTCCGTTTTGCTTTTACCACAATATTTTGTGTATCTGAGGGCAGGCCATTGGGTTATGACTTTGTAATTTAGTCAGATTTATCTTTAGTGTTCTCAGCTAAATGAGAATTTATTTGGCTTTTTTCACTGTCCTTGGCCCTTTTGCTCCTACACACAGCCCCATGACTTACTGCAAATCTGCAGCAGTGGGAAGATGTAGAAAAGCAGGGAATGATATGGGTCACTGAATTCTGGTCAGATATCCTTAATATTTAAAGTGTTACTAAACACCAGACCCTGCATTCACTATATCTGGTCTTCTACAGAACATAGAAATGTAGTTATTTTAGCAAATATAAACTGCTAAAAACCTTTTCTCATCAGCAGAGTAGTCTTGTGACTTCTATCAGTGTCCAGCAGAGCACTGGTTAATCTTGTAGGAGGAGTTTTCATTCTTCTCTAGGAGGATGCAATTATTTTAGTAAATATAAATTGCTAAATACCTTTTCTCATCAGCAGTTAGAGTAGTCTTGTGACTTCTATCAGTGTCCAGCAGAGCACTGGTTAATCTTGTAGGAGGAGTTTTCATTCTTCTCTAGAAGGATGCAATTATTTTAGTAAATATAAATTGCTAAATACCTTTTCTCATCAGCAGTTAGAGTAGTCTTATGACTTCTATCAGTGTCCAGCAGAGCACTGGTTAATCTTGTAGGATAAGTTTTCATTCTTCTCTAGGAGGGTGCAGAACTCCTGACCTATGTCTGGATGGTGCTGATTGGCCCTGTGATGATCATATGCACGCTCCCAAGAAAAAATAAATTCCTCTATAGCAATACACACCAAACTGAGCATGTGTAGAGTGTCTCCACACGGTATGTCTTATCAGGAGATAAGAGGGGGCCACTGGAAGAAGGGGAGGATCAGAGAAGTCAGGGTCGAACAGCATTTTTACACCTGTCTTATCAGGAGAAGAGGAGAGGCAGAGAAGAAAGGATCAAAGGACCTTTTTCCAAAATGCAAAGGATTAACCCCTTAGGTTCCACAGTGAGTATAACAAGCATGCTTTACTGCATATACAGACTGATTTTACTGTTGTGGGTTTAGCAACACTTTAAAGGCAAAAACAAAAATGCTTGTATAACCTGTGTTTTTTAAGCTCTATGTTCATGACACGTTATAAGTATAAAACGAAACAATGACTTTTGAAATGTATTTTAATATTTGTTATATTAATTTTCTTTTTAACAAAAGTTGGGTTTGTCTTTCTGACATGCATGAAATCTGCTTTGTTGATACAAAAAGGGTTGGTCAAAAAAAGCTGGAAGAAATAAAAATGTTTTTTACTTTTAGTAATCAACTAGCTTTCATGTCTTTTTCTAGAGTAGTAAAGCTTATGTTTACCTAAAAAATATATATACAAAATAAGCACGGGGATACTACTTACCTTCGGGTGATGTGTCCCTTGTGTTTCGGCCCCACCCCTGCGGGGTTTAAGAGAACTGAGGATCTGTCAAAGGTTCTTATCAAGAGTTCCCAACTATGCCTGCCATTTCGGGCCACATCCACCATTCAAAGAAGTCATTGTACAGCTATTATGAATGGAACATGATCTATAAAAAGAGAGTATAAAAAGAGAGGGCAGGCTGATCAATCATCAACCCATCCTCCATTCATAAACTGTGTTTCATTCATAAAAGCTGTATTAGGATTTCTATGAATGGGCAATCTGGCTGAAAAGAGCAGGCATAGTTGGGTACTGTTGATGAGAGCATGTGACAGCTCCTCCATACTATTAACCCCAGCCACACCAGAGGATTTCAACACCAGAGGTAAGGTGGGGCATAGGAAGAGGGCAATTTCTACTGAGCTAGAAGACAGAAACACAAGGAACTCGTCACAATATTCTTTGTGTTTATTTTGTATTTTTTTAGGTAAGCTTTAAATGCAAGTTGTCCAAGATATAGGGCATTGAAAATGCTATAACAATTTATAGAAGATGCAAACATTCCCAAACACTTGAACTGGAAAACAAAATTACTGTCAAGTTATGCTGTACTTATTATAGATTAAATTGTTTCCAGAAGGTTGGTCTAGTATTCTAGTAGTAAGTTCATGCTGTTTTAATTCATACACCAGGTGCAAATCCCTGCAGATGCAAATGTCTTTTATATTTCAACATGACTGAATCACACTGCGCAACAATTGCTTACAATGTACCTTGTACCAGAAACAATATACAATTTTTACTTGTGTTTTCCTATAACAGTAAGTGCCATTATAATACCAGGAGTGAATACATAGCACAAAAGAAGATATGATAGAAACAGAAATGTATTTTACCAACTTTTGTATGCTGTATTGTCCTATTATCTACTGTGTATCTGCCAAACAAAGAATGCACCATTCCTCTTTATTACTGCAGTATATTACTAGTGTATTATATTCTGTTTCTTATGATCAAGACTATAGAATACAATTTAAAAACTATTGTTCTTGCTTTTTAATCAGGTAAATCTGAGGTATTGCATATGGATAGCTTATTAATCCATTACCAACCATAAGGTGGAGCATTTGGCTCCTTTTTATAAGTTTACCTGTCTCTCTTTACCAGAAAAAAAAATGTCTGTTGCTTACAGAGTCCCATAGCTCAAGCTTACATTTATGTACACACCAGAATCCAGTGGGAGAGAGGCCCATTCCCCCTTTACCCTCTCTGCTTTCTATATTTCAATCAGCATGTGAGCAGTGTGCAGTGGGGGGTGGCAGCATGAGAGAACACACAGAGGCGGATTGCAGTGAACTGAGTATATATTTTGTAGCCCTACCCACACAGGGTCCACTTAATAATGCTTGCCTCGAGTGGTTGTCCTGACCTTGAAAGCTTCCTGTCATCTCTGATACTCTGGGTTCAGACATATTTCAACAGTATGAATATTAATGCAAAAGACACAACTCTTTAGTAAAACCTCCATATTAGACTTGTTCAAAGGAGTAGACCACAGGAATAATGGGTAAGCTTCAACTATTAGACTGCAACACCAGCAGTAAGAGGGGAAAGAAAAGGCTTGTTGACTTATCAGCTCCCTCTAAGCCACCAGAGCCGCATTGGAGAATATTCTGGCATAAATACTGTAGATATAACTACCCTCATTTAAATAACAATGGCCATAGAAGAGATAAGGTCCCTTTAAGTAGAGATTGCTATTTGAGTCATGTGATGTTTAAAGTTCCAGATATGGTGATATCTGTTATCTTCTGCTACCAATAGTGGGGCCCATAAACAGCAGAGGATACTGGTAATTCAATGAAGTTAAACAGATAAGTTGTGTTAAATGCTCAAAACAAAGATTTCCTGATACTGAGGTGTAAAGGTGTCTGCATGCAGTGTCTCTAGAGCAGCGGCAGACTGACAACTCATGGGGCCCCCGGGCAATAGGGGATCATGGAGCCCCTGTGTCCTTGCCCAAACTAAAAAAAGCCTATGAAAAAGGTACCAGGGGCATCTCATGGGGCCACCTACTGACCCCGGGCCCTCGGGCAGTGCCCGAGTTTCCAAATGGTCAGTCCGCCCCTGCTCTAGAGTGATGAGAGAAAGAGGTTGGGCATGCTCACCAATCCCATGGATGGAAACAACCTCCTAGCAACAAGAGTTCTTGGTAATGCTTGACGGCCTGCCAGCGAAGGCAAGGATGTCTGTGTGAGGACAAGACAGTGACACTCCCTATGCAGAGAAGACTGATGCGATCCTGGTGTAGCAATCAGTGTCACCGCTGTGCTGAACTGAAGTTCACAGTCCTGCAACAATAGGAAGCAATCGGACTCTATAGGAGAAAAGCATTCCCATGTGTTCAGCTCTGAATCCTGCGCCAAGAGAGAGAGACAGTCCCTTGCTTGTAGAATATATCTGCTCTCCCAGATTCCTCTATTTTGCCAGTTCTGTTGTAGTTGTAGTTTAGTTAGTACTCAGGAGTACAGTATATATTGGCTACAGGGCTACAGGTCCCACGATCCTCTGCTGTCAGAAGAACTGGATCCACTTTAACAGAAAATTATGTAGCATTCCAGTACTGGCCACTACGAGGAAAAATATTCATCATAGTCTCATCTATAAGTGGCCCTGAAAGGCATATTAATATAGCCGGCACCTGCCTACATCTGAGCACAGCCCTCCGGAAACACATGCAAAACTCACAGCAGCGGTCCAGAGGTTCAGAGCAATGCTGACAACATCTGCAAGGAGGAGTGGAAGTGCAGGCTGGCTGGTCCAACCCAAATGGAAACCTACTCCGAGAGAGAGATGCAGTCCCTGCATTTTCCCTACTTCTCCATAACCTTTCCTTAGCACTAAGTGCTGTCAGTAACCAGTGGGGGACCTGTCCCTACTCTAGCCACTCACAAAATTAATTCCAATTCAGGGAGGTCAGGAACTTAAATAAGCTGTGCCCTCACACAAGATAGCTGGGGGGGTCACGAGAGGAAAAGTGTTCAAACAGACTGCTGCTCCCAAGTCACCATAGGAAATCAAAGAGGAACTAAGTTACCCAGGGATTCCTTTCTGCTGCATTGCCACTTTGTGTAAAGCACCACCTACAGTGAAGAGTACAAACTGCACCTGCCTACACTACCCTCCCTTGACAGATACTGCTCTTGGCATCGAAACAGAACAAAGAACAATACAAAAAGGACAATAAACATAAATATACTTATAGCAAGAAAATTCAAACAACATAATCAGAGTACTTTGCAGGAAGTTGCTCACAGTTAGACTGTAGTGGGTGGCAGACCAAATTGTCCTCTGAGGAGTCACCCTCAGAACTGTCACCTTCTTCACAAGGCTCTGATGCCTCAGGTGGTTGGGGTTCAACAGGGCCAGCCATATACCCAATATCTGAAATGGATGCAGTGTCCATGGAGGAGTCTAGGGAGTCAGCAGGACTTGCAACCTCTGGGGCCGGGGGGGCCTCTGCACTATCCATAGATAGGAGGTGTACTCCCACTTGGCCTCCAGCTTGCTGCCGTTTTTGGGTTCTTCACCAACACCTGGTCCTGTTCCTTCACTGGGACTTACCAACACCCACTCGCCAAGTTGACTGTGGAAACGTATCAGGCTTGACCTAGCGCAAAAAAATAACTAACCTTCAGCTTTAATAAAAATAAGAAATAAACTAAGAAATAAGGCTCCTAAAAAGCAAAATTCATGTCAGGAGCAGGATCCCACAACCTCTGCTGCATCTGGCAATATATTGTCTTGCTGAGAGTCCTGGATGCTGGACAACTCCTTTCCTGATTACTTAGACAAACTTGCTTTCTTGTCTTGTTTTCTGGTGAACTTTGAACTCCTTGCTCCTTCAACGAACTTCCTATCTAAGCCTTGTCTTTGCACTGTTTCTGTTTTCCAGATTAATGTGCTCTTCCCCAGCCAGTATCTTGCTCCTTTCACTCCTTATGCTATCACACGTTACCGACTTTGGCTTGTTCCTTGAATACACTTCCACTTGATCCCAACCTACAACTATTTGTTACCAACCCTGGTTTTATCCTCCACTACGCTTCCCCCTGATACCAACCTGCAACCACTTGTTATCGACTTGTTTTAGCTTATTACTGACTAGACTTCTGCTTGATCCCTATCTACATCTGCAAGCACACCTCGGCTTGCTCACCTCCTGTTGGGGTGATCCTGAGGACTGTGACTTGGCACTAACACTCAGCAAAAACTCCAGCATTACGAGCTCTGGTGAATACCAGTTAGTGCTTAGACCCCGCTCCTCAGGTAAGCCTGCGTCATTTGCCAGGGTGATCTGCTTGTGTATTTATCCTGCTAGTCGGTGGGAATCTCTAGATTGCTATAGCTACTGGTCCCGGAGCCTGATCCCGCACCGTGACTATTCACTTACCAATACCATGAATAGTCATTTCACATTAAAGTTAAAGTTTGTAAACATTGTGAGGTAAAGGCTTAGGTTTTAAGAGTGTGGTTATTGTTAAACATTAAATTAAATATAATACATACATTCTCCCACCGCAGCAACATGGACTTACTTATACTGCCGATGTCTCTCCATAACAGAAAACATACTTTTAATAATTGTCTGAATCACCATCATAATTGGTGACAACACTCTAATTTGTCTCAAAAATATTTCCATAGCATTGTCACCACCTTAGTACCGCCAACCTTCTGGTGACTGGGGCTCCAGCAAATATTTAATTGGAACATGCTTTGGGAAACATCTTAAAGATACCATATAGGTACTGTAAGTTTCCTCCTGCCTAGCTGAGTAGTTTCACTTAACTGGGAGCCTGTGAGCTGATAAAACTTAATTCACAGTTTAACGTGGTGGTTTGCTTCCTCGTCACTTTCATTTTCAGGGTTATGTTCAATTTATGGTAAGTAACACATTTGTTGTTAGTTGTTTTAATAGTAATACATATTTTTCATACTTGTGATAAATGTGCAGCAAAATATAATATGTGTCAGTGACAAGTTCATATGGACAATGAACTCATGTACATGTAATAAAAATTTGCCACGGTTACATCTGTGTCAAAAGTGTACTGTTTACCAAGAGATTAAGATGACCTTTGTCATTTAAGGGACTACTCGTATATACTTGGACTCTGGAAAGTAGTGCAGATTTCATAGGCAGCATGTTTATAATTCGTATGTTTTAGAATAGTCCAGCAAGGGCATTTGACTCCAGTTTTTGTATGCAAGAGGGTTTTCAAAGTAAGGGTAGACTACCCCATATTACAAATCAGCAGGTCAGAAAGAATGGGGTCACCTCCAGAAAGTAATTTTTCTCTACATGCTTTTAGTTTTTTTTTTTTTTTTAATAATGGGTGGAAAATCTTGCAGTGGAAACCCAGATGAACATAGGGAGTACAAACTCTACACAGCTAGTGTTCTGGCCAGATCCAAACCCACAATCTTATTATTGCATAGCAAAGATGCTAATTACTGAACCGATGTGCTGCTCAAATTTCATTTGGCTTTGGGTTTAATTCATTTTTACTGACAATTTCAATGCCTGCTAAATAAGTGATGCCTGGGGCAAAACAATTACAACTTTATTTACTGTGTATATATCACGTCTCATGACTGTCAGTTTAATTGTTAGATTTGGGGCATAACATTATAATTTGAATTTCTGCTTTTTCCACTAGAGTAACTCCACGCTAGGCGCGAATCATCTGTGTAACAGAATGAGATAATCACATAATCACATGATTAATCAAGCATGAAATGAGTTGTAATCGTCCCTGAACCACTGATCGGACTTTATGTGCAGAATTCAGCAGAGGGGGCACTGTATACTGAACCACCAACCCTTTTTATTTATTAAAGAAAAAGCTATATACTGTGATGCATTGTGCCACAGGACAAAATAATGTGTGTGTGTGTATATATATATATATATATATATATATATATATATATATATATGTGACAGTATGAACGGAAAGTGTTGGATGGACGATATGTGTCACCTCGCATGAGATCATACGGTGAGGTGTAAGGTGGAGTCCACTCCGGGTTTTTGGGGCCACAATGGCAGAGGTGGTTCCGGACCGGAGTTTGGGCTCCACTGATGTCCACCAACAGGTGGTATAAATAAGACAGGGCTGGAGCAAGGAGTCGCTCGTGGCCTGGGACTCAGAGTGGTATTCTGAGAGAGCTGTGTGTGTGTACTATACCTACAAGAAAAGGTTTGCGTTTGTTTTATTTTTGGGTGACAGGGAGAAGCCCTTCACCTCTGAGAGAGGAAAGTTTCATGTTTAGTTAGTGCCTGGATGGCAAGGGTTTATTTTACTGTTTTGTTTGTTTTGACCTTTTGTGCAAACCTGTAAATAAAGCTGACAACCTGTCAGATTTTAAGAAAGCCTGCTGTGCGGTCTACCTTTTTTCCCAGGGAAGGTGATCCCCCACCTGAGCTAACCCCACAATATATATATATATATACACTATATTGTCATAAGTATTGGGACACCTGCCTTTACACGCACATGAACATTAATGGCATCCCAGTCTTAGTTTGTAGGGTTTAATATTGACTTGGCCCACCCTTTGGCCCACCTATAACAGCTTCAACTCTTCTGGGAAGGCTGTCCACAAGGTTTAGGAGTGTGTCTATGGGAATGTTTGACTGTTCTTCCAGAAGTGCATTTGTGAGGTCAGGCACTGATGTCGGACCAGAAGGTCTGGCTCTAATTCATCCCAAAGGTGTTCTATCGGGTTGAGGTCAGGGGTCTATGCAAGTCAGTCAACTTCCTCCACCCAAGACATCCATGTCTTCATGGACCTTGCTTTGTGCACTGGTGTACAGTCATGTTGGAACAGGAAGGGGCAATCCCCAAACTGTTCCGACACATTTGAGAGCATGAAATGGTCCAAAATGTCTTGGTGTGCTGATGCCCTAAGAGTTCCCTTCACAGGAACTAAGGGGCCAAGGCCAACTCCTGAAAAACAACCCCACACTGTAGATCCCCCTCCACCAACCTTTACACTTGGCACAATGCAGTCAGGCAAGTGCCGTTTTCCTGGCAACCGCCAAACCCAGACACATCCATCAGAT